GGCAGACCGGGGTGGTGGTCCCCATCTTTAAGAAGGGGGACCGGAGGGTGTGTTCCAACTACAGGGGGATCACACTCCTCAGCCTCCCTGGGAAAGTCTATGCCAGGGTGCTGGAAAGGAGAGTTCGTCCGCTAGTCGAACCTCGGATACAGGAGGAACAATGCGGTTTTCGTCCTGGTCGCGGAACACTGGACCAGCTCTTTATCCTCTCGAGGATACTTGAGGGTGCATGGGAGTTTGCCCAACCAGTCTACATGTGTTTTGTGGACTTGGAGAAGGCATTCGACCGTGTCCCTCGGGGTGTCCTGTGGGAGGTGTTGCGGGAGTATGGGGTGTCTGGCCCATTGCTACGGGCCATTCGATCCCTATACAACCGTTGCAAGAGCTTGGTTCGCATTGCCGGCAATAAGTCGGACTCGTTCCCGGTGGGTGATGGGCTCCGCCAGGGCTGCCCTTTGTCTCCGGTTCTGTTCATAATTTTTATGGACAGGATTTCTAGGCGCAGCCAAGTGGCGGAGGGCTTTCGCTTTGGTGGCCTCAGAATCTCATCTCTGATTTTTGCAGATGATGTGGTTCTGTTGGCTTCATCGGGTGAGGGCCTCCAGCTCGCACTGGAACGGTTCGCAGCCGAGTGTGAAGCAGCGGGAATGAGGATCAGCACCTCCAAATCTGAGGCCATGGTTCTCAGCCGGAAAAGGGTGGAGTGCCCACTCCGGGTCGGGGATGAGTTCCTGCCCCAAGTGGAGGAGTTCAAGTATCCGGAGAAGGGAGCCGGAGATCGACAGACGGATTGGGGCTGCAGCTGCAGTAATGCGGACGCTGCACCGGTCCGTCGTGGTGAAGAGGGAGCTGAGTGTAAAAGCGAAGCTCTCAATTTACCGGTCGATCTACGTCCCTACCCTCACCTATGGCCACGAGCTGTGGGTAGTGACCGAAAGAACGAGATCGCGGATACAAGCGGCAGAAATGAGCTTCCTCCGAAGGGTGGCTGGCCTCTCCCTTAGAGATAGGGTGAGAAGTTCGGCCATCCGGGAGGGGCTCAGAGTAGAGCAGCTGCTGCTCCACATCGAAAGGAGCCAGCTGAGGTGGTTCGGGCATCTGACAAGGATGCCCCCTGGGCGCCTCCTGGGTGAGGTGTTCCAGGCATGTCCCACCGGGAGGAGGCCCCGGGGCAGACCCAGGACACGCTGGAGAGATTATATCTCTCGGCTGGCCTGGGAACGCCTTGGTGTTCCCCCGGATAAGCTGGAGGAGGTGGCTGGGGAGAGGGAGGTCTGGGCCTCTTTGCTTAGGCTGCTGCCCCCGCGACCCGGCCCCGGATAAAGCGGATGAAGATGGATGGATGGATGAATGATTAAATGCAGAGTGGTGTTTATCACATCATATTCATGTCATAATGCCCATAGTATGATACGAGCATTACATAATGACGTGCAAGTAAGTACTCTGTGGAAGACTGGGAGGAACATTTTTTCCTGAAGAAAGATCCACAGCATGTCTTTATCCTGTCTTCTTCTCTCACCCCAACCAATCACAGCAGATGGCCCCGCCCCTCCCTGAGCCTGGTTCTGCCGGAGGTTTCTTCCTGTTAAAAGGGAGTTTTTCCTTCCCACTGTCCCAAAGTGCTTGTTCATAGGGGGTCATATGATTGTTGGGTTTTTCTCTGTATGTATTATTGTAGAGTCTACCTTACAATATAAAGCACCTTTAGGCAACTGTTGTTGTGATTTGGTGCTGTATGAATAAAACTGAATTGCATTGAAAGATCGGAAAAAATAAAAAAATAAATAAAGACTTTGGCCTAGTCAAAGTTCTGACCTGAACCTGATTGAGATGCTGCAGCATGACTTTTAAAATGCAGCTCATGCTTGAAAACCCTCCAGTGTGCCTGGGTTACAACAATTCTGCAAAGATGAGTGGGCCAAAATTCCTTCACAGACTCATTTATTTATTTATTGATCGTTATAGCAAATGCTTGATTGCAATTGTTGCTGCTAAAGGTGGACCAACAAGTTATTGGATTTAGGGGGCAATCACGTTTTCACACAGGGGCATATAGGTATAGATTGTTTCCACCTTAATAACAAACACCTTCAATTAGAAACTGCATTTTATGTTAACTGGTGTTATTGTTGTCTTATATTGAATTTTTTTTTGGACGATCTGGAACATTTCAGTGTGACAAACATACAAAAAAAGAAGAAAACAGGAAAGGGGCAAACCACTTTTTTTACACCACTGTAGGTAGGTGGGCCTGCACTGAATGGACATGGCCTCTAAGTCCTGTGAGGAGTGACTGTCTATAATTCTGCTGTTATGGCACCAGTCCTGGAGTCCATAAACACAGAGGTCCCACCCCTTCTCTTACTGGAATATTTGTTGCGGTCCTGGCGGTATCAGGATTTGCAGATGAAGCCAGAATTCTGTTGCAATCAGTAGACAACACTCCCGGACAAGATGGTTATAGTAAATCTCTAATTATAGCTCCTGCGTTTTATTTGTGAGGATCCTGATGTTGGTGAGAAAGAATGATGGGAGCAGGGATTCATGTTGTTGTTTCGCAGCTGGATGCGGAAGCCAGCTCTGCAGCCCTACGTTTGTTTCCTCTCCCTGCACTGTCTGTGTCATTTACTGCTCCGAACAACGATACTCTGTGATGTTTGTTTGTGTTGAAGTCTAAAAACAAAAGAAGCCTGAGATTGTCCTGTGTGCAGAAATAAAAGTTATTTAACATATATTTTTATTTTCATTAAGTGGTAGCTTTTGTGAGAGAATTCTGACCAGAGTGAGACGCTGACACACAGAATGAAAGCAGACCTTTTTCTGTCCTGCTACTATTGCTAATTATTGAATCCAGTAAACGCTCATCTCTTTTATCCATATGTTCAACTTTGGCATCTTTTCAGTGTTACATGAATACTTTTACACGGTGAGTTTCTGTTGAGTCCTCATGACTTTAACATCCCTCTAACTATCACTGCAGTCTACTATTACAGAGAACAAAACAGCCTCCTGGAGCCAGAGGATTATCTCAGGAAATAACTGGGCAACTCAAGCTTGGACCAGAACCAAATGTCAGAACTTATTTTCTGTAGCACTTGACATTTATTTAACACACCATTACTGCATTATTAGCATTCCTGTAAAAGCCAATTCTGCCAAAATTATCTGATAAAGATACCTGCATACAATAAATATTAAGGCTAAACTCTCGTAATTATTTAAGATCTTCCTGTTCAGCCTCACTTAACTAGTAGTTTACCTGCTGATCACAAAATTATAAAAAAGAATTATATAAATATCTAAAAACAAGCAAAACACTATTGGCCACAAACAAACTCGTATCATCCTCTAAATAAAGAAACAGCTAAGAAATAAAGTCACTGATATCTATCTGTCTAAAAATATTCCAAAGGCTTCGGGACTCAAACAAACGATGGTGAGAGCCCGTACTCACAAATAGACAAAATATAATCCACTTTATTGGCCAAGCATGTGTACACATACAAGGAAGTGGGCTGTTTTTTCTTTGCTATCAGCGTAAGTATTTAATGTACGTAATCAAGTTAAGTGATGGTTGCTATCGTTTGTCATTCTTTTTTTTTAAATCTGAAAACCTCGATTTTAAAATGATTCCACAAAACTAGAACACAAAATATGCATGATGTAATACAATGCAATGCAGCAGCCCTACACCATGTAACAACCACATCAAATGTTCTGTGTGTTGGATTTTTTTAGTTGTTGGTGTATTTCAAGCTAGTTCTACACTCTGTTTTAAACAGAGTTGTACTGGGTAAATATTTTTAATATTGTGTTCATGTTAAGTTTAAGTCCATTCATTATTTAGATTAATTAATTAAATAATTAATATAAGTACAGTATTTAATGAAGGACTTGTGTATTGGATTGTAGTTTAAATAAAACATGTTACAATTTATTTGACACAATATTCAAGAAAAAGAAAAAAATTAAAAAGTATTTTGCTTTGCTTAAATTTCTAACTTATGTATGTTTACTTATTTACAATATTGCAGCAAAAATATATAGTAGTTCAATGACATGCTACAAACTTTGACCCCAGTAAACGCACAAACACTCTTCTCTGCATAATGAAGCTGTAGTGATTTTGTTACAGTTTTCTGTCTACATCGACTCTCTCTTGCTGAAACTGAGATCAAAGCTACGAGATTTTTTTTTTTTTTACATACACTGTTCAGCGTATATGCAGCCTGTAGACACAGAGCTGGTTGGAAACAGTGTTTCTCGTAACTGCAAATCATTCATAGTATCAGCTGTATGAGATCTACACTGATGGCAGCAATAATGATCACTTACCAAATCATGCTCAGCTCCAAAATTTGGCAAAGAATACAGAAATGCAGTAACAGGTTTGGTGATGTACAAGCAGATGGGTTTCTCTGGACTTTTAATAGTTTTGTATATATATATAATATATATATATATAATTAGTCACTCAACATATATATATTATATATATATATATTATAATATATTGCAGTGTATGCGTCATAGTCCTCTGTAAGGCAGCTAACTTCACCTACAAACGGCATAATTTGTACGTTTTTTTCTTGCAGTGCTAAATTTTAAACATGGGTAGGCTTTGAAACTCTGGCAATTTAAAGATTATCCAGCGGTTCCTAGATTTCATTTCTCTATATAAAGTGTCCATCTCTATATAGTTTTTAATGTCTATTCATATAGTTTGAATGTTAACATTGTGACTGTAACGATATGAGCATGGTAGCGTGCTCAGCTTCCATCTTTAAACTGAATTATTATTATTATTATTTAAGGCAACAGCACCGTAATTGAGTGTCTAAGCCTCCTTGTGATGCTCATGCTCACCCCTCCATCACCTGTTACAGTTCAGTTGTGGCACACAATGACAGCTACCCCCTCCCTCCATGCAGCCCCATTTATATCTAAGCGCGTCCACACACACACACACACACACACACACACACACTGAGAGTGACTCGCGCACACGCGGACGCCGGCACACCGGTAGAGACGTCAGGATTGGACGCAGCAGGGGATCCCCAGCATTCCATTTCTGCCTCGCTTGGCGTATCATCATCTTTTACCGGGAGGAGATGAGCTCGCGCCGGTTCACACTCGCGGAGGGACGCAGAGGTAGCAGCTGCAGAGGACAGTCTTGTTTCTCCGTTTCACTGGAGCTTGCTCTTCCACTCTCTTTCTCTCTTGTAATAGCTTCCCCATTCTGTGCAACAAACTGTCTGCATTGTAGCTGTCGCGTGCACTGGCCGCCGGGTCAGCGCGAGGAAACAGCGGGGAGCAGAGGGGGAAAGGTGTTTCACCTGCTAGTTGATGTTTTGAAAAGAAAAGGACGTTCGGAATAAAACAGCCACCTCAGATGAACTCTTTGTTAGTTTAGAACAGAAGAGCCCGTCGCTCCATCACTTGGTTTTTTCGCATAGATCTTCTGACATTCAGGCGCGCCTTGCTGCTGGTTTAGACACAGCACCATCGAGCCTCTGTGGGTCGCACGGTGTTTCTTTTTATTACTTAAAATCACAAACAGCGTGGAAAAAGGCGAGATAGTTCCCCGGCCCCCGCAGATTCAACAAAGTAGTGAAATGGTTGGTGCGATGCCTGTAGTTTTCTTAATGATGATTTCCTTTAAATGCTTGGTTCAGCATTAGGATAGAACAGACGATAGAAAGTGGAAGTTTTTGCCCTTTTTTCCTCAAGTCCAACAAAGCGGCTGCTGCTGTTGTCATAATCTAGAAGAGGAGGACCCCCCAACCCCCCATAGGACGAACAGGTAGGACAGCCCCGATCCCATACCCACTGCCTAGCATGCACATATGTAAAATCCTTTTCTTACATCTGTGGCGTGGATCCCATTCTCATCTCAGTTGCTCGTGTGAAACACTGTTTCACTATTTTTCGTCAGTGCGGCACAAAGAACAACAATCAAACCCCACGTGCCTAATACAGTTGTAACTTTTCTAATTGGCTGGCTTGGTTTCCCCTCCGTCGTGTACAGTGAGCTGAACGGAGCCGCTCTAAAAGTTGGTTGAACCGCTTTTCGCGCTGCGCTTTTAAACCAGTTATACGCCGAATGGTGTCAGATGTAGCGGAGAAAAAACAACATTTAAATCATTTCTTTATTAACTGCGCCAGTGACGGTCCTTTCTAATAAATGCAGTGTTGTGAATGAACAGCATACCGTGCTTACTTGAGGACTGAAGTATTGTATACTAAAATAAAAGACAAATAATAGCAGTTAAATGTTTACTGTATCTTTGCTATTTTTATGATATGTTGGGGCACATTTGGGGTTGAAAGTAGCTTGGTTTGGTTGAACAAAATAAAATTTAAAAAGCGCAAACTCCGAATAATTCATGAAGAAAAACACATCAATCTGAGTAACACGGGACTGAGAAGTCTTTGTGTCGGGTTTTCACAGGCATCTCCTTCAGTCTTAAACCAAACTCCAGCTGGATTCAGTGCGTTTCCACGAGTGATATTAATATTATATTATTCTTTATTATACATCTTAGAGTTCAAGCAATAGTATACAGTTTGCTGCTTGTAATTAGAACAATTTCCTGTGAATTAAATGTCATTATAATTAAAAGACGCCTGCTCTTAAATCTTCCTGCAGGCACTATGAATAAACGCTGCGTTATGATGTGTTTTTCCTCATTGTGCTGACTACAAATACAATCCACTCCCTGCTTTTGTTATTTGGTACATTTTGAGGAATAGATGCAGAGAGGGAAGGTGTATGCAAAAGCTTGAATGCCTGAGCCAAGCGCTGCCACCAGCGGGATTCTCACTGTAGTGAAGGTTAAAGTGGCAACAAAGACAACAAAGATGAGGGTTTTCCTCCTGCATCATACCTTCCCTGTCTCTTCTTTATCTATCTATCTATCTATCTATCTATCTATCTATCTATCTATCTATCTATCTATCTATCTATCTATCTATCTATCTATCTATCTATCTATATACACATATATATATATATATATATATATATATACACACCTATATATGTATGTGTATTTGTGTGTGTGTAAAGTTTGTTGGTTTTTTGGGTTTTTTTTAGAAAAAGACGTCTTTCTTTTCTTCCATGACCTCGTATTCCTGTGAAGTGGAATTCTGTATTCCTGATTTCTTTTCTTAAAATAGTGAGCATGTGTCCTCGGTATATTTCATGGAAAACTTTTCCATGAAACTAAACTTAATCTTTGTTGCAGCAAAATGCAGCGTTCCAGCTCAGAACTGCAAGTTTTTCCTGTTTCTGCCTGACCTTATGTTCTATGAATGCAGAGGGTGCATTAAGAATAATTAAGTTCAGTTTAATTAAATTATTATTTCCAAATGTCCTCGTGTGCCCTTCAGTACAGCACAATAAACAACAATCAAAGCCCACGAGCCCCACTTAAAACATTACATTTAGTTTCCTTATTTTAAAAATACAAAACCTTATTATTCTTATTTATTGTAATGCATGTGTATGCAATGCAATTAGTTATAACAAACAGATTAAAGAGCAAGGTAAAACAGCTCTGGAGTATTGCAGCAATTCCCTACATACGAAATACAGTAAGTATTAACTTCATGCAACAAGAAGTGTTCGTTCAGTTTTTTTTTTTTCATTGTTATTTTTGTTCAGAGTTCCACAGAAATTCAGGATGACTTTGATCAGCAGCTGTTCCAAAGAATTTCAGCTTCTGTGAAATTTTTGATTTTATAGGCTTTATCTGTCCATCTGGTTCGGTTTATTTTCTTAATATATTCAAAGTTGCACAGCTGTAAAATTAGATACATCTTGGCCAGTTTTTCTTTTGCAGTTTCTCCATTCTTGCACAGCTTACTTAAAAGGTTTGAGGACTTGGCTGGAGGAAGCTGTTTTATCTTTAGGAGGAGGTAAAAATAAAAATAAAAACAAGCTGTTGCTTCAAAGTAGATTTAAAATCCAAATGTGTCTCTTTTACAGAATCTAGGCTTTACTTGAGGTTCCTGTGTGTTTATTTCATTTTGAATTCCCAACCCAGACAAAGCGCTTCATGTTGGGCCTGCACTTATTTAAAATGAATGTACGCTCCAATCAAATAATGTCTTTATTTTCTCTCACTCTCTTTTCTTTTACCTTTTTACTACATATTTATAGTTGCTGCTTATGTTTCTTCTGGATGATCAACGTGTGCAAAACCAGTAAAACCTTTACGTAGGTGGAAACAGAAATTAACATAAAAAGCCAGCAGACAAAATGATGGAATCCCACGTTCCTTATATTACAAGTCGTTGCAGAGGGTAAGAACTCTGCATCTGATATCTTTGTAATTTGGCTCTGTTGCTTGTTAATCCATAATTTTACATCATTTCACCCACTGCAAGTTATATATGAATGAATACATCACTTCCCAAATGACTTTATGGTATTCCAGCAGCAGAAACAAATGTTGTAGGTCAGGTGTGGAGAGTTTCGTGTCACCATGAGGTACTCCAGTCATGGATGTGGGAAACATAAAGAAATCTGCAGATAGCAGAAACATTTTTAAGATTAGTGTCTGAACATTTTAATTTATAGTTATTGTCACACGTGATACAAGTTGACTGTATTTACCTTAGTTTAGAGTTTAGCTTGCATATGTTGCCATACACATACTCACCAGTGTGTGTTCTGCATGTTCATGTATTTACATCTATGAATACACAACCAGTAAACATACAATAGTTAGTGTAGCAATAGCCTGCTCACCTGCACACACACACACACACACACACACACACACACACACACACACACTCGTTCTCTGATAGTAGCAATAATATTTTATTTTTTGCCAGAAAGTGTGTGTGTGTGATGTGCCTGTGTATGCTTGACTACTGACATTGACACAGTATGCATCTGGTGTGCTGATGATATGTACTTGTGCGATCTTGTTGTAGTGTGTGTGTGTGTGTGTGTAGTGTGTGTGTGTGTGTTGTTGTGTGTGTGTGTGTGTGTATTTTCGATCATTGCTACGAGAGCCCTGAATCTGAAGATTTATCTGTAGTACGTGTGTGTGTGTGTGTGTGTGTGTGTGTGCACAAATTATCCAAGGAATGCTCAGACTGAAGATTCAGCTGATGAAAGCTACCTGGAACTTTGTAAATGTTCCCTTTGTCAGACTGCAGAACCAGTGTGCGCTTGTGTGGACCTAAAACTGAAATATTAATTGTAATGTATAATAAATATAATGGAAATAAAATGTTTTAGCTTGGATTTGATCAGGAATGCCACATAATAAATTTATATACTATTTGTTTCTAAGCTGTATCCTCAAGCTAGACCCATACTACCACTGGGTCTTTGAACCCATAGATGGGCTGTCATGTCTTTACTGCAGTCGTGGTCTTGTGTTTATACACAAACACTAAGATAAGTGATCACAATTGAACACAGGTGAGAGGAAGAAATTTAGTAAACATTTATGACAAATACCATCAGTTAGCCAAAAGCTGTGTGGTGAAAGTGAGTTTTAAAAGCTTTCTGACAGAGGCTTACAACCAACGACGTTGCAGGTAGCACAGTTAAGTCTTACAGAGTAGAGCTGCTGAATTTTACTGTTTAATGTTGAGGTCATACATGTTGTATGTGCGGCTTGCTTTCATCACATCACATCACAGAGGGTTTAATTATAATAATATTACACTAATGTAACTTGACAGTAATTATATAATATAGTTATGGTCATAATGTTACAATCAACATTTCATATATTAAATTTCAAAAACCCAAATAGTCTAGATTAAGAAGGCCGTTGAATCAATTTAATAAAACAACATAGTTACATACAGATTGCAGTTAGAGTTCTGTTAACTGATCAAGCTTCATAAGCTTTATGTGAAGTCCACCTTTCGACTGTGTCACTCAAGGCAGACGAGTGAAGTCTCTTTAATCCAGCTGATCTTGTTTCCTTCTTTTTGTAGGATTGATGTTACAGTAACATCAGAATATTACTAAACATGTAGATGACGAACTTTTCAAACCTGCGTTTTTTTCTTTTGGTCATTTACGCCTCTCTTGAAGCTTCGTATTGGTGGCACTAATGTAGTAAATGAAGATACTTCATCATTTTTGTAGACTGTGGTTAGATGTAATGTATAATATATAACAGCTATATTATTCATTTTCTAACTCAACTGTCTGGATTTATTAACTTGAGCTAACACCAGGTATATCTTAAAAAAGATCCATGTTTAATAACTTAGAGACTTAGAGCTTTTTATTGTCATTGTGCAGTTTCTTGCACAGCGAAATTGGGTAGCTGGACCACAAAGGTGCAAAAGTAAGAAGAGAAAACAATATACAACAGGGGAAAAAAATAAAACAAAATAAAAAGCAATATATATGTATACATATATGTGAGTGAAACTATATACATGGTGTATGCGTGATAACGTCGTCCGCCTTATGGAAATAAAAATGAAATATCAGAAAAGTAGGCCAGAAAAGTTGCGTTCCGTCAGGACAAGCAAGGCGAGCAGTGCTTGCCTCGTCAGATCTGAAAATATACATGTCCCAAAGTAAAGCAATCTATCCTTTGATCTCAGACATCGCTGTCATATGTGGATCCAGGCCTTACATTACTGCCATCTTGTGACCGCAGTTGGGTAATGTCGCTGTGATTATTTCAATTTCATGGCATAGTGTACTCCTCTCTGTCTGTGAGGGTGTGTCCGTCTTCTGTTAACAGCGATGGAGCTGGGCGAGCTGAGAGGCCAGCAGCCTTTTCCTGGTGGTTTGTGCATACACATTGTGAC